TTTAAATACTACAAATTGTTTGGAATTTAAAGTTTTGCTACTTCATCATAACTTGAGATTAATAAAAAAGCTTAAATTGTTAATGTCAACATAATGAAGGCTTTGAAACCGTAAGCAAGGACATACAGTGTTAATAAGTGATATACAGAGACAGTATACCTTTAACTGAAATAAAAAAGGCCGAGAAAATTTCATTCCGGAACCATGATATCTAAAAACATAGGTCTAGTATATGGCAAGCCGTTTTACTATTTATTCTAACTTCATATGAAATATCTTATATATTATATGGGATATCTTGAAGTTAGAATAAATAGTAAAAACGGGTGGCCATACTAATATGTAATAAGTACGATAAACAGGATTTACTATTTTAGCTGCGTAAATTGAGAAGGACTCTGTGGAATGTACCATGAATTTGTGTACATCTGTTATTGCATCGCTTGCTTTGGCTGATTTGAGTAGTACAAATGTTAAGTACTTACTACAAATGGTCAGCTGTCCACTCTAGAGTATATACATGGAAATCATCATGCCAGTCACCACTAGATTTTCGTCTGAAATAAAATAAAAACAAGGTTCTTGTTTTTTTTTTCTTTTCGAGGAGGGGAGGGGGGGGGGAGGGGGGGGGGGTGAGTTTTAAACTTCTTTTCGGTTTGTATTATGAAAAGTCTCGTTTTTTGTTTTTTTTTTTTTTTAAGAAAATATGTTCATTGAATTCTCATTGTCGTTTAAAAAGAAAACACCAATTCAATACTAATTCAAAACACTCTATATACACATTATCAATGTCTACTTTGAATTGAGATTTTCAAATTCAGTGTACCAATAAAAATGCTGTTACGATCTATGTTACACTATTTTATTATTGAAGTACTCTTCATCCTTTTCTTGTTAACCTAGAACAAAAGTAAAATAACAAAAATACCGAACTTAAAAGAAAATTCGAAACTGAAAGTCCCTTATCAAAAGGCAAAATCAAAAGTTCAAGCACATCAAACGAATAGAAACAACTGTCGTATTCCCGACCTGGTACAGACATTTTCTTACGTAGAAAATGGTGAATTAAACCGGCATATGGTGAATAGTTGTGTCATAGACCATCATACAACATCTCCTTATTTTTATATCATGTTACATCTTGTTCACAAATCCACATTAAAGCTTGTCAAGTCAAAATCATTTCAAGTGACAGCTGCATGACAAGAAATAAAGAGATACAAAACAAATATAACCTACTTCATAAAACACGTCAATCATCCAAATACTCATTTACAAAAAAGTACCTCTAAGGTGTTGCCCAGAGCCTTTTTATATTATAATAGATATAAGAAGATGTGGTATGAGTGCCAATGAGACAACTCTCCATCCAAGTCAACATTTATAAAAGTAAACCATTATAGGTCACAGTACGGTCTTCAACACGGAGCCTTGGCTCACACCTAACAGTAAGCTATAAAGGGCCCCAAAAAATTACTAGTGTAAAACCATTCAAACGGGAAAACCAACGGTCTAATTTATATAAAAAACGAGAAACATGTTGAAGAGTATCTGTGTACCCTTCATGATAAAACATCCGGTTTATGGTTTGGATTCGTGTTGCCTAGTCTTTAGTTTTCCTTGTGGTGTTTTGAAGACTACTGCTTGTCTTTTTCCCTGTTTTTCATTTATTTTTACAATAGTTTCGTCGGTTTGAAACAGCCTATACAGTGACACATGCTTATATGATGAAACATATAACTTTGTCAATAAGACCAAATCCCAAATACATAAATACACACAATTACACACACCATGCACACAAAGTAATAGATGGAAAATTGACAGAAGAATGGTTATTCTAATTGGAATACATATTAGGTTATCTAGAGGTATAGGGGGAGGGTGAGATCTCACAAAACATGCTTAAACCCCCGTATTTTTACGCCTGCCCCAAGTCAGGAACCTCTCGCCTTTGTTAGTCTTGCATGCCCGCCTCCGGGTGCGAGATTTTCACGCTGTGTGGAAGACCCATAGGTGGTCTTGAGCTGTTTTCTGCTCTTTGGCCGGGTTGTTGTCTCTTTGAAACATTCCCCGTTTCTATTCTCAATTTTACCTGTAAAAACTCCTGATAGTGCCCATATAACTTTAGAAAGGGATGACTTTAAATTAATCACTTGGAATCCTGGTTCAATATCTTTCTTGTATATTAAAGCAGCAGCTCTCTATCAAGGAAATCATGATAGCAACGACAAGCTCTGGAATATCCTCTGTATTGCAAGATATAAACTATATATGCAGGCGCTGTTGAAATGTTGCTTCATTGAAATGGAAAGTTCACAATTTGGAAGCTGAAAGCCACTTTTTTGTCATAAAGTTTTTTTTTTCTCAACCGACCTTAATTGTAAATTTCCTTATGTTTGGGCAAGCCTCAGTATTTGCCTATCTAGAAAAAATATTGTACAAGTAAACAAAATTAAAAACCTGTACAGCCCAGTAAACAAAAGGATGACCATTACAAACAAGGAAACAAACAATGGCACATAATTTATAGTTGCTCAAATCCTTTTCATATCTTTTCGTTAGTTAGTTGTCTTATTTAAAAAAAAACCCATACAATTTCTTTTCATAAAAAAAACTCCACTAAATTACAGTTTTCAATATACGGAAAGTCCTTCTAAAGGTTATAAAAACAATTTAAATTATATAAAACAAATGTGGTTAACTTACTTAAATACCTGAGTTTTGTAAAATTGACTTGTATCTCCATATGGCCCCCAATCTAGTTTGGACATTACTTCATTAACTCCATGATTAACGCCGCCACCCATGACAACAGCGTTACCTGTATATATTAGAAAATATATAATAATAATATATATATATTAAATGTAGAGTAACAAAAGACATGCCATATTTTAAGATAGGCTTTGCACAATGTTTAAGAATTGTTGGTGTGTAACGCTCTCCAAGTTCGTATAAGTTATGGCCTGTCAACTGTTTTGATTCAAATTCAAAGATGACATAAATAAAGATCCCCATCCAGACCCTCATACATACTACTGTATGGGAGCGACATCGGATATTGGTACCAGCAGAAGTTGAGAGAGATTATAAAATTTTGTAAGAAATCCAATTGGTTATGCAATTGTAATTATTGCATGCGTCTTGGGATTTGTACAATGATATGTTTGGAATTGACCTGATCTCCAAATCATTTAGGAATGGTAGACATCAGCGTAAATAAAATCTCAGATGAAAAACTTGCATCTAGTACCAGAAGAAAGAGGTCTCGATTACTTCCGATCAAGAAAATTAGCCGGTTTAATGTTTCTAAAGATTTGATATTTCTTCTTATCATATACTTAGAGTAAATAACTTCTAATTTTTACAGTATGATAATAGCATTAAGGTGGCTCGGGTGTCTTCCTCCATCTTGGATTTTGAAGTAGCAGATAACAGTTGGTCTAGATCTTTAATGAAATGTGCAAATTGTGAGAGTAGTATGTAATTCATGTGTGAGACTTTTTATGTAAATATGGAAAATTATGTGTTTTATCATATTTACGGTTGTAATTATTAAAAAAACACCATATTTGTGTTTGATTTTTTTTTTTTTCAACTTTGCCAAATAAGGGGAGATAACTCAGATAGTAGGGGAGATTAAGTAATTTTATAATAGAAAGTGTTGTGAATTTACCTATTTTAATATGTAGCAAGAAAACAAGTTCGGTGACCCCATTTTTTTCTTTTTCTTATCTGATAGCATGATATAAGAGCTATCTTCTCACATTTTATCTTAAAATTCTATCAAGTAGTTTTCTTTTTATCACACAAAATTGGATTTTCCATGCATAATCTATACAAAATCTGACAATTTTGCACAACCTGCAGCGTGAAAAAAAGTTCGGTGACCCATACTTTTTATTCTATTTTTGAAAAAAGCATGATAAAAACTTCATTTTGACAAATTATTAAAAATTCTATCAGTTTTGATTAAGACGCCCCAGCCACCTTAAATTTACGTGAACTCCATATTTTCAAAAATGGTGCTAAGCGGGCTGATATGAAAAATTGCTTCCGGCTATTATTGCATGCCTTTGTTATCGCATGGCATTCCAACTTGACGTTACTCGGCAATTTCCGGAAAATACACATCAATGGCACGTTTTCAGTGAAAAAACATAACAAAGTAGGGTACAAAACAAATATTAGGAAATAGGAAAATTTATTATGTAAAATGCAAAACAAATGATACAATAAATGCATTTTTCAAAGTTACTTTACGATTGTTGACTTTTCGGCTCTTGGGATGATATTTAACTTTGGGCTGATAATACACCTAATATGAAAATTGCCATGTAATAATCTGATACTATTATTCAATAATGTTGAAAAATACACAAGACCATAATTTTCATAAGACCTTAAAGTTTAGTAAATTACAAAATCAAAGTTTCGAAATTGCTTTATCTACAAGAGCACTGTCATGTGTTCATTCCTTTTTTCCGTTTGGTAATAAGACCAATAATTGTTGTCGGGGCCTCGTTGGCCGAGTGGTCTAAATAGTATATCTATAACAATCGTTAGCCTGTCAATACTGAGGTTTTAAGTTCGAACCCTGCACGTGGCAGATATTTTAGACTCCGATCTCAATCGACTATGATTGTCAGTTTTCCTGCCGAAGACCCGTGATTCTCTCTTGGCTCCCCGGTTGCTTCCGCCGATAAAAAAACTCGCCGCCACGATATAGCCAACTGTGTTGATTGTGGCGTTTCACACTAACAATTGATCAATCAATTAGTGTTGTAAACTTACAAAAATGGTATGCTTTATTGTAATATTGATAAAATCAAAAATGATTTCTAGAGAAGAAATTTACATGTAAGGTTTACATCTGATCGTGACTTTCTGTGGTTTTTTTTTAAACATGGTGTTATTAATGTGTTTACTACTGAAGCAATAAAAAAAATCACAAAATAAATGTATAGAAAATATGAAATATCTTATTCCAAGTTCACCTCTAGATTCCATGATATCCATAGCACCAGACTGAGGCCAGCCACCATACTTTTTATCACGTGGCAATGTCCAGATTGCTGAAATTTAAAATGAACCTACATATTTCTGTCTTCCATGTTCACTGCATACCAAGTTGTGGGATTCAGAATCTATGCAGGCCACAGAGAACTATCTAACGGCCGCGAACTTCCGTAATATTTCGATTCGGCGGTTGTCCATCAAACTTAAACTTGTTATATTGTAAATGTGCATTAAACTATGATATATGACACGCTTAATTCTGTTGTCAGAATCATTCGTAACCAAAGTTCGTGACCTAATGTCATTTCTCGAAAATGCGACTTGAGTACCTTGTGGTATGTTAAGGTATACAAGTATATTTTTTTTTCAAAGACAAAGTGCCTGTGGTTTGGGGCATATGTTGTTCAATGTTGTATTTCTAAGGTACAGATTGTAGCTGGCATTACTTATTTTAACCTATGAAATTTTAGTGAATAATCAATTTGGCAATTACCGATTTGAGTCTTTTATATCACACTTTTGACATAAATTGCTTCCCATTGTCAATCGTAGGCTGGTACTATACCGGACACAATTGGCTTCTGCCCACTCAAAGCATGATAAGTTAAAAGTGACATATCGGCGTTTTAAATAATTTTTAGTGAAAAATAACTATTGGTATCAAAAGTGTTTAGCTTAACAAAAAGTTAAATGATTTGATAAATATAAAGGTTACACACATTATGCAGATCCATTGGCTCTCTCCGTTAGTTCTCCGTTGTCGATCAGAATTTATGTCCCTCCTAAGGAAGACAATTAAAAAGTCGATCTCTTATTACAGGGTCAATGACGGGAATTGGCAAATATACTTTTCGAATGTACATACCAAAATCGAAACCTCACGCTTTAATTATATACCTGGCCATGTCCAATCAGCTTTTGGAAGCTTTGCCCTGACATTGATTCGTCCGTATTTGATGGCCGCTTTAGTAGTTATATATCCTGACATAACAGGTGGTAGAATATCCTGACCGCCATGTTTGTTACATCCGCTGTTACTCGCTTGTGTACAATACCCCCATAGTCCTGTTAAGACAAATGAAGTTTTACATTTTGTAACAACATATATATAAATTATCCACATTGGTGTATGCTGAATAGTTTAAATTCAGTTTGTAAATTTTATTAAAACAATCATTTAAGATGAATACATGTACATATAATTTGAAAATTAGAAAAAATTATGTTTAAATTCAAGTGGCTATTTGCAATAGTAAGTATATAAAGCAACTGTCTTAAACATCATTCCTAAGTTTTATTTTTTTAAAGGCAATATTTTTTTTTCTTTGATGACTGCAGAAGTAAACTGCGCATCAATAAACCGATTTCAGAGTATACCATAAAATACGGACAAAACAACCAACCAAAGAAAGATCGAACAGATTGGAAAATTTTCAAATACGACAGAAATTACATATTATAAAACATTTTAGAAATGAAAGAAATTATTTGAAAAGAAAAACAAAACAACAAACTTAAAGAAATAACCTGAAAAGAACAGCTGAAAAATAACATACCATTCAGATCCATTTGTCCATGGTACAGCTTCCCTTCGTCAAAATCAGGATGATTCACTGTCAACGTCTGATAAATATGTAAAAAGCGCAAACAATGAAAATGAGACTAATTTCTTTTTACATTGTAAAATTAACAGTCTTATTAGAAAGTGTATTTTGATTTTTTATAAATAAGAAATATACAATTTATAGATTTAACTGATCTAGATAAAATCAAATACATGTATATCTTCAACCCTAAATCATAAATTCAGGCAAATAAGCCTGGTTTCTTTTTAAAAGTGAATATAAGTGAGGACAGGGGACTCTTGAATTATTTACCCAAGGTCGTGTTACAGTAGAATGTCACAGATTTTGGTGCATACAACTTTGGCTTGTTGTACTTACATGTATATATATATTTCCGTATTAATGATGTGAAATAATAATAGGGTCACTTATTGATCTTTTTACAGCTTATGATGTGGTGTGTGTCACTAAATATTTATTTAATATACTAAGTATATTGTTTTGTAACAACTAACAGGCATACTCCTTATTTGGTAGGTTTTTTTTCTTTCAAGAAATTGCTCTCACTGACTTTAAGCCATCATCTCCGTATGTCATGACAATTTTACTGTACACTTACAGGTTTAATGTACAAATGGCCATTCTTTGTGAATAGATTTGCCTGTCCGGGAGTATAAACCTGTAGCTCGTTGTTCTGTAACAAATAAAAAAAAATTTTTTGGTTATTTAAAGCTACTTTCAATCAATGACATAGTTTTCAAATGTATTCATTCTCTTCTAGCTCCCTTACTGTTTGTATTAAAAGGGTTGTTTGTTCTAATTATATTCAAACGAAAAAAGGTATGTATGTTTGAATTATCAATTGAGCTAATATTGTAATTAAAAGTTAATATTTTTTGTTGGATTTTACGCATTCAAATTAAATTTAAAGCTTATCATCTATATTAATGTACACTTTTAACCTTACACTATATTTAAGAGTTTTTTTTTTATCATTTCCACAATGCATAACACATTCGACTTGATTTAAAAAAATAAGGAGATGTGGTATGATTGCTAATGAGACAAATATCCACCAAATTTCAAATAAAGTGAATGTACACTGACTGAACCGGATCTATAGTCCCGCGCGAGAGGTCATGACTTAAAATCCTGGCTTTTTCAACGGAAATATCCTCAAAATTTATATTTTCTGCATCTATCAGCACCCCACATTGAGGAGTGAGAGCAAAGACAGTTTAGCTAGGAATCTGCATAAAACATAGGAAAATATGTCTTTCTGAGGGCCATTACGTTGAGAGCTTTAAAACCAGAATCTCGACTCGTCCTAAGATCGCGTACTCATAATTCTTTAACATATTGCCCTGGATATGCATGTAATAGTTCTTGCTGGACGTTAATCCCATGTCACTCAATCAATTCAATCATACTATCCGTTTAATCTATAAGGGCTGAAAAGTTGAAGTTTTATTCTGTTATATGTTGAATTGCCGTGTTTATATCAAAATTAATACTGAAACAATTGCCTTTATGTCATTTTATTTTTTATCATAAAATATGTCAGAAGGTGACAAGTCTGTCGTCGTTTCAGATCCGATACCTTGGGTAGAATATGATGACATTGTGCTTTTGAACGTCATACCCAGAATGCAAGATTTTAACATTTGTTTATTTACATCGTTTAAGCAATGCAATTCTGCTAATGTGTATTTAAATCGTTAAAAAAATGCTAATAGCCTTTTTATTAAAAAACATTTTTTTAAATCAATCAAGTTCGTTTATCGATGCTTGTCATCGTATTTGATTATGAGTTTGTTTCCCTTTCATTATTCCTTTTTATGAGAATTACATTACATTATGTATTCAGTAACTATGTTCAAGCATTGTTATTCAGAGCATAGTTCTTTAAGCCACGGTTGTTTTACAACAGATATTCAAAAAGCATTCAACACAAGGCATATAGAAAATCTATGTTATTGGAGTAAGCAAAATATCCTTACCCCTCCTCCCCAAGCAGTGCAAGCCACTTGATAGTTGTTGGCATTCCAACTGTTAAAGTCATCTCTAAATGCTGTCACAGATCTGATAGTCTTTGGTGGTACAATGGCTCCTGAAGTGTACATGATGGGTATCTTTTAAAATTAAATGAACATTTATTTTAAAATACAAATTTACTAGCATACAAACCTTAAGGTTGTTTAATATAAATAAACATGATAAATGTTGTACATGCTAAAATACATAGTCTTATTACTATTGATTTATTTCATCTTTTAAGAAGAAGTAAAGTGTTTTCTAAAATTACAAACAGCTGATCATGACAACAGCATGCATAAAATAACATTTTTTTTAGTAATCTACATTTGTATAAATAAATTCATGTGTGTGAAAACCGATTACAAATTATTCATATTGGTCAGAAGTTATCATTTACTTGTACAACGACTTGGATAGACTGTTCGTTACACGTTGAATGACCAAAAAAGTAAATAATACAATAAATGAGTATGTTGTGCAAAGTGCGTGTGTCGATCAGTTGGGAGGGAAATAAACTCTTCATAGATACCAGGATAAAACTTTTGTACGGCAGACGAGGGTTCTGTCTACAAACGACGCTCGATTCTAAAAAAGTTTAAAAGGCTCATTAAAGGTCAAGGTTGTAGAGCATTGAGGACCAAAAATTCCGAAAGGTTTTGTATAGCTAAGGTAATATATTCCTGGGATAGAAAATCCTTAGTATTTCGGAGGCGGGTTACACGTGGCGGAACAGATTTGCACATGCAGTTGGTAAGTAGTAGTAACAACACGGGAGGAAAAAGTACACACACTGATCTGATTGATTGGTTGATTAATGGTTGTTAGCTTTACGTTGAGTTGCAAATATTTCATACATGTTCAGGCCGGTAACAAATTAACAATATTAAGTAAAATAGGTCGGGGTCGAGAGGGATGATGGGCGGAAACTTCGAGTACAATTAGAAGATAAGGGTACATACATTTTGCCTTTGAACAGGACACTTATGGACCCCTCAAGGAGTTGTTACAACGGCTCTTAGCGTGTAGCGATATTGGGACTCTATACAAGTTATCGGATTGAACATTCACATTTTTACAGGCCGTGGCTGAAAATTTACACATTCTGCACAGCCAAACGGACACCCCTCTTTCTTGTGGGTTTCACTGTCGGTCGGGAGAAGTGATGACCATATTTTCATACTCCAGTGATACGGGTTTTTACATAGAAACGGGGAAAGGTTTCAACATATTTTTCGATTTTTACACAAGGGTAAGGGTAGAACTGTTCTCTTCATTTTGCTTCAACATATTAAAAGAACAGTAACAAGAAATTGATGGAATCTATATAATTTTCTTCTTTTTATCTCAATCTTATAATTATTAAACCAGTATGCATTTTCCCAACACCTTTACAGTTCTATCATACCTGCAGTTAATGTTCGGCTGCTATTTTGATCTGTTGTTTCCCTTTCGTGTTGACCGCTTTCAAATGAACCTTCGGTAGGAAAGCTTAAAGCCAAAAGCCAAAATACATTGAGAAGACTAAACATTTTTAACCTATATACCTCAAGTAAGTTAGAAGTCTTCAAGATTATGTCAATTGACGAAATGAGACGATGTCCTGATAAGACGTGAATGTACTAACTATAGTACACATTATATTGCAATAAGTCATTGAACCGACTGGTACATGTATTACCATAATTCAAATCCAGATCTCAAGGTATCTACAATTTAGAGCAGATTTATGAAGGTCTGGATGGGGTTTACAGAATAGAGAATGTTTGACAAATAGTGCAAAATAGAGGGCATAAATTATAAAAAAAAAGAATAAAGAAAAATAGACAAAAAAAATAGATAATAATGGGGTGCTAAAATATAAAGAATGGAGAATAATGAGCAATCTGTATAGAGAATAGAGAAGAACAGCTTAAAATTTTAAAGAATACAGATCGAAGACCCCCATAAAGACCATCATTTGTTACTGGCTGTGCATCGACAAAACGTTACTTAATTGCTGTAGCTTCGAAAAAAGAAAATTAACAATTTAATTATGTTGATGCTCAGTCCATATATTATTCTAAGAAGAACGAATAGAATGGCAAACCTTAATTACAAATCTAAATATTATGGTTATTCTTCAAGAAACTCAGTGTCCTTAAGAAAAACGTAACCTTATTGAAGTTATCCGAATAACAGATGCAGACACACTTTTTTTGGCTCATCACAGCGTCCACAAGGAATAGATTACTTACAATAAACCATGCATCAATAAATATACATGTATCAGATCAAATCATGAAAGAAGATACAAAACATTGCTTTTTTGTTGTTGATTACTTAATGATACATTGTAATAATAACGCCCCTCCCCCAAGTACAAACAACAAATATGATGAACTAGTAAGTAATCAACCCACTTGAGCAATTGGACAATTGTACTCCAATAGACTTCTCGTTTATAATCTGTTAAACAGTTCCCACATAATACAGCATTCTCAGACTCTACTACACATGCATTGTGATTTGGATGGGGAGTTGTCTCATTGGCACTCATACCACATCTTCATATTTATATCTACTGACTATCTACGAATCGTATACTATACCGACTTGTATTGTCTTCTTGTTGTTATTGTTTCATATATTTCGTGAATGCAAAACCTGTGGAAACATTGCCCTCTCACGAATTGGAAATACCTTGCTTCTCAGTCATCTATAACTATAACAATGTCAGAGTCAAAAGAAATCGACACAATTGAAGCTGACATTTTTTTTTAATCTTTCCACAAACAACATCAGTAAAACAGATGATGGTTTAAATCACGATCCTTCTCAGATCAAATCTCTTGAAAATTCAGGTAAATTATTAAAGTTGTGTCAAAATATTTTTTATTAATATGAGGGTCTAGGTGCAGTTCACAGAACAGTGAAAAATGGCCTGAATTAATTAAGATCAGATATTTAATGGGTGATTGAATATAAAAGAAAAGAAATTATGGCCGAAAAAAATTAAGAGTTAAAAAATCAATACCATATCAAACCCCTCATAAGAAAATGTTGTTGTTTATCATAAAGTCTTCGGAATTTCACACTGTACAGCAATAGTGTAAATGTTTCTGTTAGTACATACTTCGACGGTTGTCACTTTCAAAATGATTATAAGTTCAAAACCTTGTACGAAAATGTAAGTGTGTCAGCTCTTCGGTCCAATTCGCAGACCTTTCAACAGATATCAGGGCGAATCACACCTTATCTTCTAGTTTTTTAAGTTTTCAGGAAACTTGTTGGTCAATCCCCTGTTGTGTTGTGATGATTGATCATCTAATTGTTAATTCGTGGACCACGAATTAACAAATAAATGATCATCAAACAATGATTTAAAATAAAACTGAATTGTATTACCTGGTTCTGTACCTTCTGATCATCGAACAATGTCGTGTCTTCCTCCTGGTTTGAAGTTGCTGTGTCAAATCTAATGTGACAGTGAAGGAAGTACAGCGAGAGATATTAGAGTGTAGGACGGCTAGATTTTAATTCATGAGATCGCGTATTTGAGCTAGCTTTCACTACTTGCTAGCATTCTATCGTGACACATGTTCATGTGCCTGTCGAAGTCAGGAAACTTGTCAATGGTTGTCTTTTGTGATAACTTCATATGATTTGTTATTTGGAGAACTTTGAGTTGATTATAGATTAAATATTCTCGGTTTAATATATTCTCAACTTTCTATAGCCTCAGGACAATTTAGAGCTTGACATATCATATGGACACATGAGATGTAATGAAGAATGTATGATGACCTACAGATGTTGTATAGTTATTTGTTGTTTGGTTCCTGTCGTATTGACGTATACACCATCCAACATCTCTTTCTACTTGTATGCTTATTTCGTGTATAGCATTTAACCGCTATTATTTCATAGCGTCAGTTTTTTCAAAGTTTTAGGTTTGTCTGTGACTTGGAATCAGCCTGCTGTCTGTGTGTTGTTGACTTTTAAAGGACATTATCTGAACACACTGAATCATTTTAAACCAAACCTAGTTTGAATCATCGAGAGGACTCGTGATAGCGGGATGTAAAAATGATGAACCAATGATAAGTGACACATTATTGAAAAAAGCTTTAGAAAAAGTACATTGCTGCTCTCGTTGTTACTCAACACATACTGAGCTTTACAAGTCGTTTGACTCAGCCTCTACAGAAAACCCACTGTGAATTATTAAAGCATTGCATATGCAGAAACTTCATTAATGAGCAAAGGAACGATGCCATATGCGGCATTGTTTTGGAAAAGATGAACGTATTAGCCACATGTGACAATATCCAATAAGAAAAACCAAGAACGGTTAAGAAAATGACAAAGCGCTCAACTGCAGTGGACGCTTCAGACACGGTCAGTAGAAAAAACACACACAGCCAGTAAGTACTTCAAAATCGGTGGATGGCTTACTGAAATCACCTTAAAAACCCACTTGCATACCTTTCTGAATCGTTTGCTCTAACAGATACAGACTACTAACCTAATATTAACACAACCTTTCATCTATTATCTACGATGCCAGAGAATCCGTTCCATTTGAAATATAAAAATACAACGATGTGGTATAATTGTCAATGAGACAACTCTCCGCCAGATACCAAAATGACGTAGAAGGTGGCAACTATAGGTCATGATGCTTCCTTCAACAATGAGTAAAACCCATACTGTAAACCAAGCTATAAAAGTCCCAAATAACAAATGTAAAACAATTCAAACGAGAAAACTAAAGACCTGATTTATGTACAAAACAATAAATGAAAACAAATATGATAAAGAGCAACAAACGACAACCACTCTATTACAGGCTCCTAATCTGGGAAAGGCACCGGGTCCGGGATTTCTCGCTGTGTTGAAGACCAATTGGTAGCCTTGTGCTGTTTTCTGCTCTTTGGTCGGGTCGTTGTCTCTTTGAAGCATTCCCCATTTCCATTTTCAATTTTTCATGTAGAATATGTCGGGATTAACATGTTTGCGATTGCCTAACCTTCCTTTTCTCCATTTAGATGATTTAAATTGTAGAACAGACAAACAATGACCGAAAATCGATTAAACGGATTGGCCT